GGACACCACTTGACTACACAGATTATTCTCAAATCAACTGTCTGCTTGTGTGATGATTTAGGTTTGTCATATATATTAATCAATCCATCAACCAAACATTACTTCTAAGGCACTTTCAAGACTAGCTGAATTAAGTTCAAATGACTTTACAACCCATGGTCGACACGTTAGAAGGTAAAATGAACTCAGAGACAAATACGCATCAAGATAATTGAATACAACTGAATGATATTAGTTGCCACAATCATAACACCCCCAATATTTGTCTTAGCTGAACCAGTTGAGGTGCATTATGGGTAACACAGGCTGCAGGTTTTGAACAGGAAGAATGTGTGGAATAATAAAAGATGGTTATCTTTTCACTGGAAACATGCAACTTTCCACAGCAGGAACTTTCTGTTTCCATTGCGGTGTAGGTGATCCATCAGCTTTGACCGCAACATTAACTCCAGGTTCTCCCAAACAGTGATAAAGTAGATGTAGTGAGCATTTAGGAAATAGAACAATACAGGGTTTGTTATGTTAGTAGTTATGATGAATTTTAAACTGCAGATGTCAATTTTAGATTTTAAACTGCGACTGAGAGGGTAACTTCATATCACCTTTAATACATTTAAAAGGGCGCTATTGTGCTTTTTTCTCTACTACGTGTGTTTGACAGGTTACAGTTTATAAAATATGATGCACTGATATAGATTAAATCACCCAAGAATCACTAAAATAGTTCAAAGTACCACCAAGTACAGTAAAAGTCCACTTACACATGAGTGATAATGATCCAATATCACTATAAATACTAATATAACACCCGCAGACACCATTTTCTGCATCATCCATTCATTTAATTTAAGCAATTTTAGTATATTTTGCCAGTGACACATTAGAACCCTTGAAATTTCCCATTTTCAGCACAAAATCTTCAGCCCTATTGGAGTATATCGATGTTTTAATGTTGTTACTTTGACTTTTAGAAATACTTTTTCTATTCCTGCTCCTACTTTTTCCAGTTTATTTTAAAGAAGGAAAGCGAGAAGCTTCATGGATCACTTGGGATGTAGTCCAGCAGCCTTTTTTTTTTGAGGCAATAATTAAGCCCCACCTTGCCTAACTGAATTCAAGCCTGCACAAGATCCTATTTCTGCTGGTCGCCTGTCTAGACAGCAGCTGTTTGAATTTAAGGAAGAGCCCATTGAAAGTCAAGATTTCAACATATCTCAAATAAAACTGACATTACCAGCGGCATTTCATGTTACTTTATCATTCCAGTTCAGGGAAATACTGTGCTTGAATCTGACAGCTGTAGATTTTACAAAAGAAAACCTACGATAAGTTTAGAAAATCACACCTTAAGGATTAACTTACATAACAGCAGGTTGAATAATAATTTGAAAATATAACGTTGACTCACTGGCTCTTCTGCTTCCTGTAGCTGCTGTTTTGCTGCTTCTACTTCAGCATAATATTGTTTTTTTCCACCACTGAATTTCAAAACATACATCCGTGTCCATCCACTTTCAAACACACACAATCCCAGACTGACCAGAATAAATCCCATCGCATTTGAACTTGATGACATTCACCAGATTGATATATCGAGTAATGAAACTACAAGCCGCACGCTTCTCTTTCCAGTTCTGATAAGAGCGGGAAATGAAACTGTTGGGTTTTATCTGAACAAAACAAAAACATTTTGGTGAGTTGAGATTTCAGCTGTGATTTTTCGGCTTCTATTTCCTGCATTATTTTGCTTTATATTGTTGTTCTTGTTGCTTTTTATTCTATGAACTATCTGTGAACTACTACTTCCTTTAGTGGGAATAAAGATAACCTTGAACTTGAGATTCTTGAGATTGAAGTGAGAATTTTCACCTTTTTTGTTGTTTCATGTCAATAAAAGAAACTTTACAGACCCTCTTTGGTGAAAATACTCTTTTTTCACCTTGTAACTTTGTGTTTTTTATATACCAGAAGACACATCATGAGCCAAATAAGCCATAAATGCACTGACTGAGTACTTCAACCGACTGACTTTCAGGGTTTCATACATAACAAACCTTAAAGGACCAATCTTGTTACCTGCTTTCCGTGTTAGTCTTCAGAATCAGCTTATGGTTCGAACATGTATGGCTGAATTACTCTAATACAGCGACTCACAAGTTTTGCAGTGTTTGAGCAGAGTAGCAGGTAAGCTGGTGTGCTTGAGCTGCAGCAAGGGAAGTAGTGGATAGGTGGACAAAGAGACTTAATAGATGCTCACATCCAAGTAATTTAAGGCAAAAAGGATTGTTTTTATGAGGAAAACAACTTCTAAACATGTAGCTTGTGATGAGGTTAAACCAACAATCCACTTCGATTCAGTGCTGTAGAACAATAAAACACCCAGTGGGGGTCGATACTTCTTTCATGGCACCTTGTGGGCAGAATAGCCCAACTCCACTGTGATACTTAATGAAATTGCGCCCTCTTGTGGCTGTATGACCTCAGTGACGCCTTTAAATTTCACACTGATACAGAACAAAAACGATGAAAAAGGTACCTGTTCAATGGGAGGTGGGTCTGCAGGAGAAGGTGCTCTTGCAGTTTCATCCCACTGCTGCGATGCAAACACATCAGGTGGAGGAATGAGACAATCCATGTCGTATTCTGTGATTTTTATCTCCGGTATGGTGTCGTATATGAGCGGCGGGGGCGAAGGGAAGTCGAAATCCTCATCCTCAAAACTCTGTGGTACTGTATCATCCTGCCGGAAGCTTTCTGACTGTTCATGTCTGACCTTTGACACAGGATGAGGTTTTGCATACAGCTGCATGTCTTCAGCGTTTAGGGGTGAAAATCTTCCTGTTGCATTTGGCCTCTTTACGTTATCCAGAGTGGGTGCAAAGCTGCTGTTAGTCTCTTTCGGGTTCTCACGCGGCTTCACATCTGGCAGGTCGTCACAGAAACCAAAAGTAGAGAAGCGATGCGTTTCTCTGGAAGCATCCTGAGATGATATGCGAAACACTGCAGCTGGTTTACGCGGTTTTACGGTAGTCATGTCCACTGTTGTGCTGTCAGTCAGACCCTCAGCTGAATTCAGCTTATTAGAACCTGTGCAGGCCTCAGCGAGCTCCTTCACGTACTGTGCGGGGACATAAAAGGGCCTGGTGTGTTGGTCTCTGCGAACGTGCCACCAGTGCTCGTTAGTCTTGGAGACCAGGATGTAACTTTCATTGGGCTTGATGGACACGAAGCGGCCGTCCTTGGCTGTGTACTCAAACTCATACTGCACTGACACAAACTCCATGCTCCAGTGGCCCCTCACTCAATGTGGATGCAGTCTTAACATCGTGGAGCTGGAAAAAGAGGAAATGAGATGTTGGCGTGGCTTTCAGAAAGCAGCCTTCATACAACTAACAACAGAAGTGAGTGCACCCGCATGCAGAATCACTTAAATGTCAAATGAGCTCTGATTGCATGAACTTTCAGTCACGATCGTTTGTAAGTTACAGCGTTTTCTGTTGTAAAATAATCAAAAACAAATTCAATATTAAAAACACCCACCCCAAAGTAGAAACCCAGTGCAACATACAGTCAAATGTATTCATATGATCCCGTTAAAGAAGGAACAAAACAGCTCTCACTGAAATAAGTTGAAATTGACAAAAGTAATGATACATTTTTTTTTAAATAATGAAAATCATGGGCTGCAAGGTTGGTAGCACTGTTGCCTCGCAGCAAGAAGGTTGCCGGTTCGCGTCCTGGTGAGGGCACCGGAATCTTTCTGCGTGGAGTTTGCATGTTCTCCCCGTGCAGCGTGGGTTCTCTCCGGGTTCTCTGACTTCCTCCCACACAGTCCAAAA